TTAAGAGTTTTTAAGAGTTTAAGAGTTTTAAGAGTTTTTAAGAGTTTTAGTCAAATGCTTTATAATATAGTATAAATATATAATAAAGTAAATTACATTCAGGATCGATCCTATGGTTTGGGATGCCTTAAGTGAATAGTAAAAAACATGCCCCTAATCCAAGAAGCAAAGAACACATAAAATTTTAATTAGTTAAGATAGATTTTACCTAATAATAGTCTCGTGGTTCCATATGATCAGCTGATAAGGAGTGGTGTTCCTAATTTTTGTGTTGTTACTCTAGCACTAAATGACATGGCATATGTTTTAGCATGTTAATCATGTATAATTGCCATATTCCTTCATGTAAGTGCTTGCATTTTGATGAATGTTCACAACCATCAATTCATCCTTAATATTTCTAAGTACTTAATTGGGGATGCCTGAAAGTAATCAGGCAGCAAATATCCTCATCTCAAGGCCTATATCTATCCTAATAAAATGTAGAAGAACGTTAATAGGTAGATGCATAAGTTTGTTATGGGAACTCTGAACTCGAAACAACTAGACAAAATATTATGGTGAAGTTAAATCAACATGCAACTGTTTCACTATCCACTTTCAGCCCTCTAAGTCGAGATATCACAATGATATTATGATTTATAATTACCAAGTTGAGTTGATTATATAGATTATTTTATGGTTGTATATGTTCTATTTATCTTCATCTTCTGATATATGGGATCAAACTTTTTTGTTTGTAATTTTTAATGCTTTATCTATTATGCAATATTTTTATTAGGAGTAGAGTACGATAAAGATTTAATTCCTATATTTTGTCCACCATGAGATCTGAACACCTGTGTTTTCACCCAATCTCTATCTTGCTAATGCTAAAGGTGGGTGGTATGGATGCACCAAATGACCACTTGAAGTATGAATAACTGCATAATTTCTTTGTTTCAAAACTATTTGATGCTATATGTTTGTTGCTTTTTTCTTGTGTATGTTTACTTTATGTCTATCTCATATCTAGGCTTGTTTGTTGTAGAGACAGTTACAAAGCAAAAGGGCATTATATTTGACTCTGGTGATCTTGCTTATCTATCATGCGAGGGAAAAAAAAGTTTTATCTCAATGTGGAAAATGAATTTTAGGTTCTTAATTTCAGAAAGACTTGTATTACTGCAAGCAATGGCCTTAATAAGGAAACTTTAGATGCTTTAAGCAAACAGGTGAGTTACCGTGAACCCAACAATCATAAAACTGCTTTAGGATATTTTCTTACTATAGTTCTATGCAAATAAGCAAACAATCAAATAAACAAATACTCAAATAATCTACTATTCAATAAGCAAATAATCAAATACTCAAATAGGCAAATAACCCAAATAACCTAGTATTCTAATAATAATAACATACTAACCTTATTAACCTCTAATCAACAATCAATTGATTAGAAAATAGAACACCTGACCAAGAAGCGAACTATGATAAAAGGTGAGAGGCCGAGGCAAAGAGCAGAGCGAGGTGAGACTGTGAGAGGCTTAGGGGCAGAGCGAGAGGCTGAGAGGAGAAAATATGCTAGAATGGATGAGAGAGTGTGGGTCGAGAGCGAAAGCGTAAGTCGATTGCAAGAGCATTGAGAAAGAGGATATCAGTGTATTGTCGAGATGAGGATCAAACGTGTGTTTTTGAGCCTACTGTAACTTCGGGTTGGGCCTTGATGCCCCTTAGGCCTCTACTGCCTTGGACTGCCCATCTCACCCATCATATAGGCCGGCCCTGATTACGTTCATGGTCCCTATGTTTTTAGATGACTAGGCTACCCCTCTAAACTAGCTGAGTTAACAAATTTTCTTGGACAAAGTTAGTGATAGGGACCCAATGCATTATAAAATGCAAACAAGAAGGATTTAATTTGTATATATTTCGAAATAGAGACCTAGAGTGTTACAACACATAAACCACATGGAACAAATGTGTAATTAACTCTAATCTATACCATATTATAAATCATTTGATGAAAAACTCTTAAAAACCATTTTATGCATGAAATACTGTTTATTGATGCATATTTCTTAAAATTCAATATTCCAAACAAATTCTGTGTAAGTACAACTTATTAAAGCTCCATATCTGAATTCGTGTAACTAAATACAAATAAACATAATCAATTACAGGATAAACATCTCATTTTAAATATAAAAATCTAAAATATAATTAAGATAAAAGAAATTACACAAAAAAGAAAAAATTTAATAGTTAATTTGATACTAATATCAATATAATTTTTCAAAATTTTATGATATTTTCAAATTTATAATTTATTTAAAAATAAAATATTATTATATTCTTAAAAACACATAAAAATATATTATATCAACAACAACAAAATAAAATAAAACATTAAAATCAAAAATTATATTATTACATCACGAATATTTTGGTAAATAGTCGTCCATTTTATTGTTCATAATATAAAAGAAAAAAAAACAAAAAAAAGAGAAGAAAAAGACAGAGCAGTCCCTAGAAAAGGAAACCGAATTAATAAACGGGCCCCACAGGTTTCCAATTAAGTTCTGTGTCTCTTCAATTTCAAGATCTCCGTCTCACAAAACCCTAGCTCAACTTCCATCGATCTACCGAAAATTCTGGTGAATTGCCTCAATTCATACACATTTCTTACTGCATACTGTTCTGATGAATCATTGCATTTTAAATTTGATATGCTGGATATGGTTTAGCATGTGTAAATTAATTTAGTTTGACTTTTGTGTTAAACTCTGAAATTTAGCGATCGGGTAATCTATTTGCAGGGATTAGTGGTTTTGTTCAGTTGAAGTAATCGAGTGATTCGGTTGAAACAAGTTCTCTTGAATACTTTAGTTCATAAGAAAAGCTTTGATTTCGGTAGTATGCTGCACGTACCGACGACGATCGAGGATCAGTTAATTCTCAGAGCAATCAAGGAAGAATGTTCTTGGGAGAGTCTCCCTAAGCGTCTCCAGTCGACTCTGAATTCCAAGGATGAATGGCATAGAAGGTAAGTGTGCTAACTGCCATTAGCTTCTTTGGCATCTTTGATATGGTGTTCCAAGTTTTAATTATATTTTAGCTATAACATGCATTTGGGATACGTAGTTTGGAAATGCGGTTATCACTTTCCGCAGCTATTGCTTTGAATGAGTAGATCCTCTTTGTATCTTTAAAGATATGCTTCCTTAGTTCAGCAATCAGAAACTGTTAAAAACAATGAAGATTTAGAGTAAAATGACAGTAACTCGGTGTAAGGGGGAGGAGGTTGTGATGACAGAAAAACAGGGAAAAAAGACAGACCTGACAGGAACATGAATGTCATGTACTAGTATCCAATCAGTAATACTTGAAGCAAATGTTGTTGATATGGATTTGGGATTGAGCTATAGGTTAGTTGAACTCTATTGAATATATGGCTCAAAGAAATAATAAAAATGATCTAGAATTATGGAATCTGCAATTGTCAAAATCTGTGGCATGGCAATTAGTCATTCAATACAGCATTCTCTAGTATTAAGTTATTGAGCAAGTTCTCATGACTTCTTGTTGTGATGTATGTATTGTTTACATTTCTTATCTTTTCTATAATCAGAATTAGAGTACTCTTCCTCACTAGTCTTGGCATTTTATTACCCTTATGAATCAAATAACCATTGGGCCAAAGCATAATTACTTCCTGTTAGTCATTACATTTATTCAACCATAGCCTTGTAATGTTTTCTTTGTGATGTATTTAAAGGAAAAACCTCATACAATCAAATGAAATCTCAACATATATAAAATGCTAGCATTCTCCGATGAAATTGTTATCATCTATCCTTGTTTTAACCTCCATCAATCGTCATCAATGTGATTTTTTATAAGCTATCATGCAACCTCGTAAATTTCAATTTTCCCTTTATCCCTTCATTAGGTCCTTGGTACAAGTTCTCAATCAAATGCCATGTTGCTTGGATTCTTTCATTAATTTTTTTAATGGACTATATGAGTCTTGTACTTGCATATAACAATTTTTAAGCACAAAAAGATAATATGTGAAATTTATTGGCATTCAAATGTTGTATGGCTAGGAGTTTTTTGCAGGTGGCATGTATATTCATGGATTTTAACTAACAAATGTTGTTCATGGGTTGATGGTTGCACCTAAGCACTATTGCACATAACCTTTCTTCTATCTTTTTTAGTTGTTTCAAATGACATATAAAATGCCAAGATGACTCATATTTTCAATATATTCTCCCTTTAGTTAGATTTAAGCTTCCCTTCACTTGGGAAGAGGTCCCTGACGACATTTATAGGTGTTCCAGATTTTTATGAACTATGTTATTTATCTAGCATTATATTTTTGCAGGATAACTGAACATTGCATAAAGAAAAGGCTCCAATGGAACACATCTTTTGTCCGTAAAGTATGCAGAGAAGGAGAATACTATGAGGATATGATGCGATATCTTCGAAGGAACTTAGCAGTATGTACTAAGCAGAGATTCTTGGTTTATTGATAATCTGCCTGTTACCCATCTCTTGGTTGTGTGTCTGCTAGTATTAATCATGGATCTTATTTGTGAGGCTTGGGCCATGATCATGCATCACATCCTCTTGCATTTTCAACAAGTTTGAGAAAACAAATGACTGACCCATGTGTAAGTCAATGTAGTGTACTACTATGAATGGATGATCGGTTATAAGGTGTCCCCATTGTCTACATATACCAAAAACTTAACTGTTAATCAAGATCTATATGTGCCCTATATATCTTTTTGGTCAAACATGATGCTTTAAAATGACTAAAGTGTTTAACTTTTTGTAATTAGGCTCCAAAAACTTAGGCACGTGATTGATTATGTTCTTTTTTTCATGTTTGTTTTGTCTTGCAGCTGTTTCCTTATCATCTTGCAGATTATGTTTGCCGTGTAATGAGGATTTCTCCATTCAGATACTATTGTGATATGATATTCGAAGTCATGAAAAATGGTACTAGGTTGTTACGTTTATTTACATAGGTTGCGTTTGGTACATGGAACAGAACAGGACAGGATGGGACAAAACTCATTGTTCTACGTTTGGCATGACATAGGACGGGACAAAACTCACTGCCTTACGTTTGGCACAATATGGGATAGGGACAAGAACTGGGGCAAGGTGGGACAACGTAGGACAAAAGAAGGCTTTTTCTTGTTCAACAAAAGTAGGTGGAACAAGATGGGACAAGAATGAGACATAAACTAAAATATTACTAATTAACCCCTCGTTTGATATATAACCTTAATATGGTACTTGTTTTAGTGGTCACCATCGCTAGTTGTGGCCGCCGTCGCCACTGTCAGCCACCAGCTCCACTACAACAACCTCTTTCTTTCCTCCACCACCTTTACAACCACCATCGACCACCTAGCACCACCGTCTATCGCCACCTCAACAACTTGTTAGGCCACCGACCACGACCATACATTGCCACCACCGCTACCACCATTGGCCACCTCCACCTTCTCCTCTGCTACAACAACCTCCTCCACCACCTTCACAACCACCAAGGCCACCGACCACCACCGTTCATTACCACCATGGCCACCTCATCTACGCCATAACCACCACCATCGGCTAGCACTACCCACCATCACCATCGGCTACCGCTACCACTATCTACCATCTTCACGTCCCTACAACCACCGTCGGCCACCAACCACCAAGGTCCATCTCCACCAACACTAGTACTGTCGACCACCTCCTCCACAACAACCACCACCATCATTGCCTACTATCTCCACATTGGCCATAATTACTTCCTCCACCACTATTGACCGCCACCACCACCACTATCCACCATCTTCACATCCTCCATAGCCACCATCGTTACCAATCACCAATGCCTCTACCTCTACAACTATTGTTGTTACAACAATCTTTATCATGCCGTCGTCAATTGATAAGGACCTTCCAAACCGAATAAAACATAATTTCTCCTTTGTATGATTCGGGTTTTTTCAAACTATCATCAATTATATCAAAATTTTCGTTCAAATTTGGTACCATTATATATGTATGTATTTATGTATATGAAAATTGTGTAAAAAGGTTTATAAATTAAATTATTTAATTATTTACTTTATTTGTGTTAGTTATAACTAATATATCATATATAAAATTATCAAATAACTTTTAGGGGTAACTTGTACAGTTCTGTTCTGTCTTGTCCAGTTTTGTACCAAACACTAGACAGACACTTGTTTTGTCCAATCCTGTGCAATCATGTCTGCCTGCCAAACGCTACCATAATTTCAATCTTACTTATGTGGAAATAAAACCACTGCTATCTGTATTGGTGACATTTTCTTAAGCAAATTGAATGACCGCCTTATATTGCTTGATGAGAAAAAGAAGTACAATGTTCCATTGTTTCTCACCATGCTAGACTCTTATACAAAGGTCGAGATGTGCATGGCTAGTGCAATGAACCATTCTTTAATCTTTTTGGTAATCATAGGTCACCCTTTAGTAATTCAACACATGAAAATAGTATATTTAGGGTACTTTTTCTTGGTACAAATGTAAGCTAAGCATTTTCCCAAGTGATTGGTATCATTATGTCAATTTGAATTCAAATGTATGAACAGTTATGCAAGTGATAGTGGTCAAATGTTGGTTATGACATCAACACACACACATAATGTGTATTATACACACACACATAATGTGTATTATACACACACATACATATATATATATACATATATATACACACACATACATATATATATATATATATATGTGGAGTCCTAACCTACAAATTGATCAAACCATACAAACCAATCTCAATCATCCATTTAGGCTGATGAATATTTGGTTCCATAAATGTCTCAATTGTTTCCTAATCTAAACCGTTGATCATAATGAATGAACTTTGATCACCTTCCATGAATATTCTGATCACAATAAATGAACCCTTATCATTTTCCATAAATATCTCAATTTTTTGGTTGTATGAATTAGAAGGTTTGCAAATGATTGGGACTCTATGTATGTATACATTACTAGACAGAATATACAAGATGACAAAAAGTCCACTCAACTATAAACTAGAAAAATCAAGACCAAGAAATCAGATCTGCCACTACCCAAATCAAGTGATGAGCAACCAAAATAACAGTCATGACAGAAAAACTCTCTTAGCTTGCTTAAACACCAGCAGCTTGAGGCCCTAAGCTGTTTGAGAGAAGAATCTACATAGAAGCCTCAAGCAGGGTCTCTACATCTTAGGATGTCCAATTAGCAAGATGGGAGAGACATCATGAACTGTAAAGTATCTTTTATCTTGATTCTTGGCCACTTCAAATACTCTATAACTAATCGAGAGCGATTTTTGACTCCCAAGCTTCATCACAAGCTCTCGTAAATTGTTCCACACTTTCTAGCAAGTGACACAAAGGTAACAAATGATGTTGAGTTTCAGATGACTGCTTATGTTCAGCACCATCGTGTGCTATTCTTTTGTGGTACATTGCATAGGATGTTTTCTTTCAGCCTATTTGTAAAGCGACACCAGTGTAATATGCTGGATTTTCCCCATATATTGTTGTATTCTACAAATGCCCTGCTTTGAACCATCTTTGTTTTTCTTGCATTGGGGCATTGGCATAAGGATTTGGTCAGTGCCCTTGCATCAAAGGGTAGAGTTGACTGGTTTTTTTAGTTGCTACTGTACAATACTTTAAGTGAACAATTGTATTTCTTTGTTTCTGGTTTGTACCTTTGTCATTCACTCCGGTGTGTAATTGTTGACCTTGGATAGTGAATGATTCATGGAGCCTGGTCCGTCAGTATATCTTGATCTGCTGTTTATCATCACTCTATCCTTAAAAGTGAGCCTTTTATATGTTATAATGGAATAGTTGGTACACATGTGTTAGGAATCATAATTTGCCAATGATCGGAAATTTTTCTGCATGTTGGGTTTTTTTGTTCGCTCATACGTTCTTAGTCAATCGTAATTATTAGGAATCACAATTAGTCATTACGTTCTATGCATCATTTTCAATGGTTTCACATCATTTCTTTGTGCAGCCTTTCCATTTTATTTCCAAGAAGAATCTTATGTTTATATCATCTGCAGAACAACCTTATGATAGCATTCCAAATTTTAGTGCGGCAGATGCCTTGCGACTCACTGGTATAGGCAGAAACGAATTCATCGATATCATGAACAAATGTAGATCTAAGGTATCAACTTACATTTATATTTTATGTTGTACATATGTGCATGTCTAACTTGTTACGTGTCTTCAATCTTTTACACTCTATGATCTGCCCCCTTAGTTTGTTCTAGTGATTATATGACATACATATATCGACCTTGTAGGCTGTTATCGATTTGATGTTTGAAATAGGATTCTATTCATATGACTATAAAGTGTTTTGGCTTATTGGAACTGGTGGACTTGACCATAGAAGTTATTGGCTATAGGGCTGTCCCCAAGGGCTCATGTGCAGCCCTCTGGTGCATGCTTGCAGAGTCAATTGTCAGTTCTAAGGAAGGAAAAATGGTCAGACAAAAATATCTATATTGTGAACAATGAAATGATCTAACTTGGTAGTTACTTCAATTGTGGCCACAGACAAACACACATGCATAAGCAGGATAATTAGTGCATTATAATGTTGTGTTAGGGTTTGAACAATAATTCAACCGACTTTTGCTAATAAGTAGCAATGGATCAAAACAGTTGTTGTTGAGGTCCACTCAGGTTGTGTTATCCCCCCTGAAGATGCAATGCTCAAATACTTCTACAGTTCTACTTGATCCCCTCTATTTTTGGTGCAGATACATTCTAATTGTAGCTGGAAACATTATCTGCCTTTAATCTAATTATCCTTAATGATTTGGAGCTTTCCAGAAAATAATGTGGAAGCTGAACAAGTCCATAGCCAAGGAAGCATTGCCCACACATCCTGTGGACTTTGCAATTGAACCATGGTGGGGAGTTTGTCTTGTCAACTTTACGTTGGAAGAGTTTAAGGTGAGATTCTTAATAAATATTTCTATCATAACAATACTCATGGTAATATTAGCAATCATGAATTTGGTATATCTATGTAACCTTTGAAACATTCAAGATAGATCTTGTTCTATGTTGGTTATGAACAAATAATGGCATTAATGCATGCCAATTGATGTTGGCTCCCTTTTCTATCATGCATTGATTGCAGAAACTTTCAGAAGAAGAAACAGCAACAATTGACAAGATCTGTAAGGAGGAAGCAAATGCATTCATACTTTTTGATCCTGTTGTCATCAAGGGACTTCACCGGCGAGGGCTAGTCTACTTTGATGTACCTGTTTATGCTGATGACCGTTTTAAAGGTAACATTATGAAATCAGTATTTTGATAGCCAAATATATTTACGTAATTTAGAGCTTATGACAAAAGTGTTATCCCAAACTGTTGGTCTTCTTTTGGCTTTTTTTGCTTGAAGTTCCATTTTTCTGATTGGCTTCGTATTTGGAGCTTCTATGATCCATAAAAAATTTAGTCTGTCTGAACTAAATTTATTAGAGACCTAAAAGTTGCAATGCACTTGGCTGTCTTCCAATGGGTAATCAAGTCATGTTATCTGCTATCAACCAGACAAAGGGAATTTCTTTAATCAAGTGTCAGCTGGTTGCTATTATGTACTATTATTCTTTCCCATAAAAAACCCTTCCAAACTTCCCCTCTCCTCCCCATGACCCTTAAGCAAGAACTCCAATCATTATAATCAAAACTGTCATAATATAGGGTAGGGAGAAGGAAGAAGTAACAGTTCTAGAATATCCATGTTGTGTTTTCTGAACCATATATGCATGTTTTATTGTGGAGAGAACACAAGTGGTTATGTCTACAACTAAGCAGTTAACGCGGTCGATTGCGGAAATGCGGTGGTATAGCGGTAAAAGAAATTAGGTTCATGAATAACTTCGAATATATATGTACATATATATATGTACATATATATATATATATATATATATATATATATAACTTAATATATTGTATGTGTAATACATATCAAGTCAAACAATATATTGAAAAATAAACTACTTAGTAATTACAATATATTGTATGGTAAACTGTTATATGTTGAAGGGGAGTTCGATTGGGTGCAAATTGATGGAGTTTTCACTGAATCGAGAGTGGAGTGTGGAACCGACTGGAGTTGTTGAAGGCGATGGCGCGATGCATGAAATTGATCTGGATTTGGAATTGGTCCAGTCTTTTAAGTTTTAACCAAATAAATCTCTTTGGGTCAAATAGAAGTCTTAAACTTTGGGTCGAATAGAAGTCTTAAACTTTGAGTCTCAAACAAAATAGCCCACTCAAAATAGCACAAAAACAAAAAAATACCAGGAAAAAGATTGCTATTAGCCACCGCTATTTCAGATCAAATTGCAGTTAAATAGCAATGTTTAGCGCCGTAATTTGCGGTGCCACTATTCCAAGCCACTATTTGCAGACCTCTGTTTTCTGGATGACTGCTATTCCAAGCCGCTACTTGCAGACGCTATTAACTGCCCAGGTCCACACTGCTGTTTCCATCCCCTCTCACACAGCAATGCCACACACGTGGATCTACGCCCATGCACATAGATAAAATGCTCCTCCAAGGTTTAAAAATCACTATGATCAGATCTTGAAGCTAAAGAATCTCAACCTACATAACACACTGTAATGGCATCCACCTATTGTGGGTGCAATGCAACTGTGATGTGAAAGAGAGTTGGCGTAGTGGCTGGTAGTGAGGTACAGAAGAGGCCTTGTTGGATTACCAGTAGATTGTGCGGCAAGATGCCTCACCTACTTGCTGAAAAGGATCAAGCGCTTAGCATGGACTGAAATATTCTGTAATTGTATTTTAGGTACATTTTGCATGAATTAAGTTCCTTTCTTTACTGATTTTGGTTGGCAAATAATGGTGCTACTCAGACCTGAGAAGGATGTTGTCTCCTTTCCCTACTTATCTTTTATTGACATTCTGCATTTCACAACGCTCGTGACTTTGGATGACAAAAGCCTATCATTGATCACGTAAGATATCAATACCTTGGTCCAAAAATGACTTACAATGATGATTTTATATAGCTTGATTGTATTTAGTACGTTATAATGGTAAAATGATTTTGTTTGCATGGCTGCTATGAACTAAAATTCGTATCCAGTTTGGGTAAAAAGATTCAAACTTCACCGAGCAAACAGACTAACCTGAAACCAAACTGTTGAACACCTCTGGTTTGGGTACATATACGAGGAAAGCTAATTTCCTTTGACCAGCGGCTCCTTAAACCAACTCATTGATGCAAACATGTCATTATTTAACTTATGAGTTTAATCGAGTAGGCTTGCCTTAGTTGTCTGCTATAAGATAGCTAGAGAGGTGCAGGGCCGAATCCAAGAGCTTAGAAGTATTTTAGGTGGTACCCCGAGGTTAAAGAGATTGAGTTCCTGCGAGGAACACACGAGACGGGCATTCCATGCATGTTGACATGGAATTGCAAATTTGCTATATGCAAAGGAATTCATCATTCATTGGAATTCGATTTCCATTCAAAAGAGCAACCAAACATGCTTCGGAATTCGGTCAATTGGAATGTGATATTGCATTCCACCACATTCCAATGAACTAATAGTCATTCGTCACCTTTGAAATGGATAATAGCTAGTTAACAGAATGTTTTTTTTGGCTACATTCTCTACCTTCACTTTGATATGCTTGTTGTTGCTTGTGTTCCATGTTCAGTGTCCAGGCTAGAAGGGTTTGTTTCCAACAGAGAGCAGTCATATGAAGACCCCATTGAGGAGTAAGAGATTGTCTTGAAATAAGAACTGCTTCATTTTCCCTTTATCCATCTGAATTTTACCCTGCAACCAGTCAAGTGAAATTCCTTTGTATTGCCAACTTTACTTTACAGGTTGCTTTATGCTGTTTTTGTGGTTTCAAGTGAGAACTCAACTGTTGCTGAACTGGCGACAACGTTACAGGCTGAACTCTCCCAACTGCAGGCTGCTGCATCTTTTGCTTGTCGATTAGGTTGGGCAGTAAAACTAATCGACCCTGGATCTATTCTTCAAGAACAAACTACTAGTGCCCTCAGTGATGAAGAAGAAGGTTCTCTTGCTACTGTGGCCTCTGGAACCGATGCTGGTTTATTTCAACAGGATACTTCAGGGATAGACAACCATGGGCCAGGTTCTGCTTACGCGCGTGTTGCATTTGTGGTTGATGCTAACATAACATCCTATCTTATGATGGGGTCTGTTTCACCTGGTTAGTTTTTGCCCTTTTCAATCTTTTTGTCGTTCTTACTTTTCAGGGATATCTATGTCATCTTCTTTCATGTGAGTTTATCACATTATTTTCTGCATGAATGTCAGTGGACAGTTCTTTATCATTCTTTTCTCCCTTCTCCATGACCCAGTATATGTATTTATTTCATTATCACAATTGTTAGTCTATACCTGTCTTACTATTAGTCATATTCTTCTTGATCTTTTGCAGGCTTAAAATCTCATGCAGTAACACTATATGAAGCAGGAAAACTAGGTTATGCTAGCATTGAAGATCTTTGCAAAGATCTAAGCACATTAGAAGGAACAAAATTTGAGGGAGAGCTGCAGGAGTTTGCCAACCATGCATTTAGCCTGCGGTGTGTTCTAGAGTGCTTAACCTCTGGAGGACTTCTTCCTGATGAATTGGACATGCCTGACATTGGTTCTTCAAGCAATGAAGAGGTTACATCTATAGTGGCTGAGATCTCACTAAGAGAAGAATCTGGAACTGTTATCAGTGAGCCGGGACCACTTGCCAACAATTCTATGCAGCCAGAAACACCTAAGCAGGGTTCTGATACCACTTGTACAAATGGAAATAATGATGATGTTAACTTGTTGCCTTCTAAATCTCAAGAGGATAGTTCCAAATTGGATCAGGGATTGCAGGATGCAGTATCTCCTGATGTTGGAAAAATAATGAAGAAAGTGAGGAAATACCGTGTGGATATCCTGCGTTGTGAAAGCTTGGCTACTCTTTCTTCAACAACACTAGATAGGTTATTTCGACGTGACTATGACATTGTTGTGTCAATGGTTCCCCTTCCTCATTCTTCTTTATTGCCTGGACCTAAAGGTCCTGTTCATTTTGGCCCTCCTTCTCATTCTTCTATGTCACCATGGATGAATTTAGTATTGTATTCGGCTATCGGTAGTGGTCCTGTGTCAGTTGTTCTAATGAAGGGTCAGTGTTTAAGATTGCTCCCTGCACCATTGGCTGGTTGTGAGAAAGCCCTTGTGTGGTCTTGGGATGGATCTACGGTTGCAGGCTTGGGAGCCAAGTTCCAAGGGAATTTAGTCAAAGGAAGTATACTCTTACATTGTATAAATTCACTTCTTAAACACACAGCCGTACTAGTGCAGCCCTTCAGCAGGTATGACCTTAACAAGTCTGGAAATATGAACACCATAGATGTCCCGCTGCCGTTAAAGAACTCTGATGGTTCATTTGCTGACATTGGGAAAGAATTGGGACTAGGTGCAGAGGAAAGTTCCAAGTTGAACTCTCTTTTGCGCAATTTAGCAGATAAAATACCACTGTGGACCATTGGTTATATTCGCATATTGAAGCTCTTCAAAGAAGGAAACACAAACATGTTTGCACCAGATGATGTGAAATATGAATGGGTTCCATTGTGTGTAGAGTTTGGGATTCCCCTATTCAGTCCAAAATTATGCAACTATATATGTAACAGAGTGGTTTCCTCACAATTACTTCAAACAAATTTGTTTACCGAGCATCATGATACAATGCAAGAACTGAGACGAAGGTTACGTGATATTTGTTTAGAATATCAAGCAACTGGTTCTAGTGCAAGGATGCTTTACCATAGAGATCAACCAAGGACTCAAAAGAGACAACTTATGACATATGCAAGTCAGAGATGGAATCCTATCACAGAACCCTCTTCTCCAATTTCTGGAACGAATGATCTACAGAGGTTGAAACTTGCCAACAGGCAGCGTTGTCATACAGAAGTCCTGAGCTTTGATGGTAACATTTTAAGGTATGCCGTGCTTGGTTTTTCCAATTTATTTGCTATACTCCCTTGTCTTTCTGGATTTCAACTGTGCTTTTATTCAATTAATTTCTATATGCTCTCTCTTGGTATCAAATCCCGCCAGTACAGTTCATCTGAGAGCACAAATTCTACTAGGGGTGTATTTGAGCTGAGATGAGCCCAAGTCTTTGAGCTAGGAACTTTTAGACTTGGGTCCCGTCAAGCTGGCTCTTATAGGCTCAATGTTTTGGGTTTGTATGGGTTCTTGTAAGTTCAGCCTTAGCTTGGCTCGTATAGGATTTAGTCGTGCTACAAAATCAAGATTAAAGTCTTTAAATAAAATTGCAAATGACTCTTTGAAAAAATATTACAAATTAGAAGTTTCCGAGGGTTGCCAATGCTAGAGGTTTAAATAGTATATAGACCATGAGCAAATGATTTGAATAACCTCATATTCACTCGAGTAAAATAGTTTAACCTGTCTGGCTTCAATAGCCAGATGATCTCTCTCAAATGATGAGACAGGCTTGCCAAGTTTTTTGACGAACAAGCTCACGAGCTTTCATGTCGCAACTGGCTCATCCCATCTATATCTTTGAGTTTAACCTACCCTCCCCCCCATAGATATATATATATATATATATATATATGTATGTAGGTATATATATATATGTATGTAGGGGAAGGATGTGAAAACCATAAATAAGTTCCCTGGTTTTCAAAATCTATACGGTTCTCATTTAAACCAGACTGCAAATCATATAGAATCTAATAGTCAGAAACCTTGAACCAGTTTCATGTATTACATGTGAAAACTAAACCCATGAAAATCTTCCAAAACCGTCCAATGAGTTTGATTTTAAACTATTATTCATGTTGTTTCACATGTTTTGTTCTTGTCTGCGAGTATGAGAGTGTGTTTCATGTATAAATGTTCTAATTTCTGTTTTTATCATCACACGCAGAAGACGCAACACATTCTTTGACGTTTCATCTATGATATTAACGTTGTATGAACACTGCACGTTCACATGTAGCACATACAAATGGTTATCATTGTTTCTAATTTTTAGACGGTTTTCATATGATTTTTGCCCCTATATATATTGCACTTCATGTTCTGGTTCTGCTCACGACACTTTTTTCTAATCTAAGACCAGCATCAATGAAATACTCATCTCACAAAACCTATATCTCTGAATTTAACAAACTGCAATTATATTGCATTTCATGTTTCGGTTCTGTCTACTGACTCCTTTTTTTATTTATCTAAAACCAGCATTAATGAAATTTCATAAACATTCTTCCTTGTTTTTCTAATTAGCATGATGTTGAATGAAACCTGCAGATCATATGCTTTGGGTTCAGCTTATGAAGGCACGACCAAAATGAATGAAGAGATGACTAGTGGTAAAGTTGAATCAGATGATAAGGACAGCGGAGAAACTGTCCTTCCTGGTGTTACTCTTGTCTTTGATGGATCTGAGTTGCGTCCATTCGACATAGGTGCTTGCCTTCAGGCCCGACAACCGGCATCTTTGATTGCAGAGGCTTCAGCTACATCTTCTGCAATCAAATAGGATACCAAACTGTATAATCAAGAGTTTCTAACCGGGAAAAGTTTGTTCTTCACTTCTGCTAATTTGATTCAGTTTCACACAAGCTCTGTTGTTGCTGGCAAAGAAAAAGTGGTATGCTAACTGCTCCATTCTTCTAGACCTTCCTACGTTGGTTAGTTTTTGTTCATTTTTGTGGTTTTCATTTTCATTTCTTTAAGCTGAGGTAGCATCACATCTATATTTTGTCATGCACCATGTAAATGAAAATATTAGTATGTCCATTTTAAATGCATATATTTGTTTTATGAAATTGATTGATTATTCATTAAATGTCTTAGATGTCCTCAAATAAGGTACTATCATGGGACGAAATCCATATGTAAATTTGATTGGTCAAAAATGTTGTAATTTCCATGGGAACATATATATCTTAAGCTTGAGGTCTTGTTTTGTTCCTGTAGTTAGTGTAAAATGCTTATTACCCTTCTTCAGGTAGACACATCCAGGCTCCTTATCTTGTTTCTTGTATGCAGGAAATGTTCTCCATGTTCATAGAGCAATCTATTGGTAACAACTGAAAAAAAGAAGCCCGACATTAAGCCAGCTGTTATATGGAATCACCAAATGTATAGGACAACTTTTACCGCACAAGGTACAGGTCACTGTACTGCTCTTAACCACAAGTTTGTGTTTACAGATAATATATCTGAAATGGTCCCAAACTGTGTTTTGGTTTTAGGTCATAGGGATACAAGTTTGTTTGCCTTCACTTGAAAGTCGGTTCCATTTATGAACGATGGTCATGTACATTGATTGGTCTACGTTCGGATCCAATCTTTTTGTTGTTTTGTGTGTATCATTACTATGTCAAAGAAATGTTTTCGACCTATATTTGGTCAAATTTGTAGCAAAGGGCTGACAATATATGTTACCTATTCGATTTCATGGTAGTATTTTGGTATATTTTTTTGGTAACTATGGGTGTCCGGCCCAACTTACGTACGACTCAACTAATCCCATAGGGTCTTAAACAGCCAAGATAAACCTGTATTGTTATTTAATTATTTACAGTTTGCTTGGATAGTAATGTTTGCCAATTTGTTTTTTGTTTAGATATTAAGTGTCAAATGGTGCAAGGAAAAACGAAGTATGAGAAGTAACTCATGATTCTTATATATGTGTAGTTAGATTTGTGCACTAACAAGTTTTACTTTTTAAGGTTTATTTTTATCATTATTGGCCTGAAATCTGAATGGTTATGAACAATATTAATAATAAATATTATATACTTCAATTTTATGTTTATGATTTTGTATCATCAGTTTATCACTTCTTTTATTATTAAAATTGGTTTTTTTAACATCCTTTTAACCCAAAAAAATTACGTGTAACTGGTTATGAATATTCGAAATGTGAATGGATTTGCCATAAATGATCGAGAACTGTAAGAACTATCTTGGGGGGAGCTGGCAGTCAAATTAGTATGTCGAACAGGGAAAGTTAGTCCTAGTTGCTGTCAAAAGGGTTTTTGAGGATCATGACATTCAAGACGTGCAGATAATCGAAGGCCGATCCTTGGCACTTGCAATGCTTTCGCCGTTAAAATCATGATTAGATTTAGTATTCCACGCCATGCTATTTGGAATAGGTGCTCGTCATGGAAGGAGTTAGTAAACACGGGGATAAAAAATAACTTCAATGAAAGCACATTAGAATTAAGAGGTGAATTATATATGACCCAAATTCTTAGGAAGACTTGTTTTATGAATCACAAAAACTAGAATGTGTCTTAGTTAAGTGTGATGCTTGACATGTTTTGGCCAAATTGGTGTCGTATAATATATTATTCACTAAGGGGTCGTTTACATAATTTTTACTCGGATAAGTGTTTACCAAGTCACATTCTCTTATAGGTTAAGTATGACAGTGTTTAATGCAAAATAATGAAGACAAAATGAGTTAAAATGGAGTTAGAATGGTTTTGAAAGGGCAAAATGTCGTGCATGCTAACTCTTAGTATAGTGTAAGTGACATGCATAGGCAAATAGGTGAAGTCGTAAAGGCAATGTTGTAGGCAACACTGTATATAACTCGGAAGCCCTAACTTGGATTCTACATAATAAAGTGAGTTGCCTAAACTCACCTTAAAAGTAGATGACTTGAAAGTCACTCATACGATTGGTTTGGGTAAGTTCAATAAAGTGAGCTGCATAAGCTCGCCTTAAAAGTGAAAGCGAGTTGGAAAGATACTTCGAAGTTGTAGTGACGGTCGTGTAGATCCTCGGTTGGGTGCAACATCGAACATCTATAGTTATTCCGATACACATATTGAGATAATTGAGTATGATTGAGGTACTAATGTTACACATTATATGCTTTTAAAATGGAATAATATGTGAGGATTCCTATAAATTTAGACCCATAATGGGTGATAAAATAAAATTTAAATTTAAATTTGTAGGATCCAGGTGTTAGAAGAGAAGTGGAGTGGTTGTTTTGGTGAAAGATCCATAACGACCAACTAGGATAATATCCACGACAATAATATCTCCGACATACGATCTTTAATAACCACGACAACTGATTATCCAACTACTAAAGACAGTCATGTGTCAATAGTTAGTCAAGATGACATCTTAACATCTCATGGCTACCTGTTGCTTGTAGCATGTCGCCTTTAGCTTGATGCTTGTAGTCTGTAGCCTCTCCTAAAAACCGACCTTTGGTCACGGTTGATGAAGATCACTTACAAAAATAAACGCCTTATTTAAAGTAATCAATCATCATAAATGGAGCGATTACAACATTTAAAAAGTAACAGTCGATATTTATAAAGGATTATAATTATGACATTAAATATCATAATTCTCATAATTGTAACTCCTAATATCATAATTATCATGATTGTAATCTTGCAGGTATTCAGCTATAAATATGAAGATCAAGTCGGTTCAAATGGTCTCCCATATAATTCATGCACTCAAGTGCTCTCAAATAAACATTTACATGCTCTCAAATAAACCTTTACTGTTGGAATTTCTATTCAATTTGTTTTTCACGACTTACTTATTAACCACCTTTTATAATAACGACAACAATTATTAAGGACGACGTTTAACATTTGTTTATGCCAAAAGTTACACATATATAATTTAAGTTTGAATCATGGAGCTAATGAACTACAAATTGAACCCTCGAAATAAACAAGATGAATAACTAAAGTAATAAGTAAGACAAGTAATTTTGGTCACGCAGAAAACCCCGTCGAGGGTAAAAACCGCGGACGATCGTGGATATCGTCGATGTACTATGGATGTCAATGAGGGTCGTTGTTCTTAGCAACAATGATTATTATTACAGAACGTGGTTAAACACAACGTGTCATGAATAAAATAAAAATGACTTTAACAGCAGGAGAATTCTTCGAGAGTGCTTCTAAGTGGATTCAATCGCGATATCTTCTTATTCTTGATGTGATAATCGTTGTGTCTCTTCGAATGCTCTTAAATCCACTTATAGGTAGCTTTTGTAACAACTAACTTTAACGGTAATTACTCTAGTAATAGTCATGTATTGATGGTGTAACTGAATAGTGGTCTCGGTTATGCTTGGTGTATTAATGAAACGAATCTAGGTCACAAATCTTTAGGACCTGTAATAAATAAGAAAGATAATGATTGTCAAAAATAAATAAGTGTTAGTGTTAGTCGTGGATAAATAACTACGATCTTTACTGTCGGTGATTGTTTGTCGTGGATATTAGCATCATCAGTAATATCGACGATCAATCGATGATAGAAGCTATATCGGGAATAATATCTTCGATCGATGGTCATGCTTACAAATTTTTACCCAAACAATTTTCCCCCCAAATTTGAATTTCAAAACTCATCCGAATTTAAAATTTTGCTCCAAAAGTTGGTTTTCGAGGATATTTTGACATGTGTGCTTCTTGGTAACTGAATCGGTTGAGAAGCAACCGAATCAATTTCTTTTGAAACTGATTTGACAGTTTTTTTGACTGAAATGTCATACATGCATGTAACATCATGGTGTCAGTACAACTATCTATGGATACGTATCGTCCATCCTGGGTAGCATTCGAATCGTCTGGGACAAGTGTTGCTTATTGGAGCAAGGTATCTTTGACGTTTACGATTTTCAAAAATTTGGTATAAATAACTATTTTTACCCTTGGGTTTCCCTTTTTTATGCTTATTAAACCTTCAAGAGCAGCAAGTATTGTCTTTATGATGAAATGTTTTGCAAGAAGTCGAGTTTCCAAGTGCTTGGAGATTTCGGCTAGTGTTTGAAAGGTAAAATCTTGAATTTCATTCATCGTATGCCCCCCGAAGCATATAAATAGAAAATTGAAAAATATTGGGAGGCTTTTAGTTTGTTAACAGCAACATTATCTAATCCTGACTATAAAGAAATGATTGAACCAATGAGCATGATCGTAGAAAACAGCGATCTCGAGGCCTTCGGATTATTATATGAGTTTCCCGATGATATTGTTGTATACTGCATGGGTAACTTCGACCTGAAGACTGTCCCACGAGGTATTTTGTTCCTTATGAATACCCTTTAAGATTTTTTTTTTCATTCCCCAGTTTTGAAGGGTCATAGATGTTATCGACAAACTTATAGTCGATTAGGAATCACCATTTACGATCCACGAGCTTTTGGCAACCTACTTAGTTAAGTCTGAGAGTAACCATCAATATAGCCTTTATATCAAGGCTAGGGGAATAAAGTTCTAGCTCTAGGCACTTTCGTCAATGACAGGAAGTATAAGACTATGCACGTTTTTGGAAAGGCATCGACGTTAGGAGACGAAGACCAATGGTTCATGTTGTGGAATACCATAGTATGTGTCACCGTTGTCCATTTTCATCTAGTTTAATATTGTTAACATCTAACCTTTTGGTATATTGTTGAAGGTATTGATTTTTCTCGAGTGTCATCTTTACCGGACACACATGAGAAACTTGAGAAGTTCCTTCGTCTGTCCAATTGGGAGTTTTCTCAGACGACCATAAATCGTTCTTTGATAAACAAGGGAGAGGACGACAAGGTCGAGTTTTTAAGGTGGTTAGGACCAGTTGAAGGAGAAGACAAAGAGGAAGAAGAGAGAAAGTGGCAGAAGAAATGTCGGGTAAGTGCCTTATTGGTTGTAGATAACTTCTTGTAGATAACATGTCATAGATAACCTGTCATAGATAGTTTATCCTAGATAATTTGTTCTAACTATATTTTTTGCTTCTTCTAGGAGAAACCTTTGGGAAGATGTCAACACCCAAGAGGTCTACTACCTGCCCTTCCAAGAAGGAAAGGAATGCCGAACTTGCCCGAAAGGGTAAGTCATTGAAGAGGAGAGCCCTAGCATCGGGCTAAGACCCCAAGAAATTGTAAGCATAGATGATCGGGAAGGAACGGTCTTCGACTGTCGACGACCAACCAAAGGTTGTTGGTTTAGAGAAGACGAAGGTGCCACACTTAGGCACAACATCACCAACCTTATAAAAAGAGGGTGCTAAAAATGGCAACAGTCTCTTCCATGTAAGGGAAGAAGATGGAAGTTTCCACTGACCCAAAGATGACGTCTATGATGTTCAGTACCTGTTGGGTTTATGAAGGGAAATACGCTCAATAGGAGCATGTTTCCTTAAATAAACTTATTTCTCTTTTCTTAATATAAGGAGAAATACAAGGACATCTCGATCAATGAAGTGGATATGCATTCGGTTGGCCTATCCTTCAAGGTAAGAAATTCCAGTCTTCTCTTTTTGTGGCTTCTAAAATTTGTTACACTAATGTCGAGTGTGCTTCTGTAGGCCTTCCAGGGATATGCATAACTGTATTGATACGGTTCATCATGTGTTGGTG